GTCCTGGCTAGGGAGCCCGGCTGGTTCAGCAAAAGCGAATGTCCTCCTCCAGCAGTAATGAACAGCCGGTCTCCGGTTCGCCACGGTTTTCGGCACCCCTTATGGGTGGACTTCAACCCCTAGTCGCCCCGAGTCACGACGATATCTCAAGATCGCGTGGAAGACACTCGATCTCCCCATCTCGCGCGGTCCTCAGTGGTCTTTCCTCCCAAACGGGTCCCTCGGGGTCAGCTCGTGGAAGTCATGTGACCCTGAGACCGAACCCAGGAGCATCAAGTCAAGACAGGCGCAGGGTTGCCTCGACAGACGCTGACAAGGCTGCGGCTGCTTTCAAGGGAGGTCCCTTCGAAGGCGTATCAGACGCACGAGGTCTCTCCGGCTTTTGGAGACAAGTGCACCGTATGGTCTTGCGACGAGGTTGGCTTAAACGAAGGGCTGAGCATTACTTTCTTCTCACTAACTTAATCGATGAATCGGCCTTAGAACAGGCGATTGCCGACAGGGACCCTATCACGGCTGACGACTTCGCACTGGCCGTGGACGCGATCCACTCGACTTTGAAGGAAGAGTGTGGCGGTCACTTCGAGGCGGAAAAGTTCCTGACTGAGCCTACGGGGCGCGGCCCACAAGAACCCCTGACTGATTACATTGGAAGATTCGATGACTGGCTACGACGTTGCTCACTCGCAGGGACTCCGCTCACTGACGCCCTTATCATCCGCGCCTTTCGCCGTAATTTGAATGATGAGAACTGCCAGGAGGCCTCCTATGAGTATCCCGGGACATGGTCACGCTTTCGAGTCAAGGCTCTCACTCGCGCCGCTAGGGCCGATGCTAACAGGGCGAGTAAGCCTCGCAACCCGCCGAAAGCAATGGTCCCGACTGCAGCCGGTGACAGGGGGCACCCTACGCCAGACCTGCGTCATCAGCAACGCCAACATCCTCCTCAAAAGGCGAGCTTTGCCGGAACTGATTGAGAGGCAAATGTACAAAGGAAGAACGGTGCCCCTTCAGACACCTAGGCCCTACAGAGTGTCGCCGATGGGCGGTTGAAGGGCGCTGTCGATTTGGCAGCGAATGCAAGTTTCGCCATGACCGTACGGATGACAAAGCCACCTCTAAGGGTGGTGGCCACGGACGTTCCCAAGCCTCTTCCTCAGAGTCTCTCCAAGTAATAGCACCCGATGGGGGGCTCGGAAGAGTCCGCTCTATTCTGATCCTCAGAGGTTGAGGAGGATCAGTTACAGATGCTTTGGGTGGTCAAACAGTCGTCCGAGTCCAGTCGTCCGAAGTACAGGTTGACCCTTGAGCTGCTGCATGTCCCGGCGGAGCAGAAGTCTGAGTCGGACAGTCTCAGCAGGCTTGCTTTCTCCTGGGGTATCCCGGCAGTATCATCTTCGAAGATCGCGGTGTGGTGCACACCAAAGCAGTTACGGTTTTTGATGAGGACGGTGGCTTAGGCTCCTCTGAAGATAATATTACCGTATGTGACGTTGAGAAACAGCTGAGGGTCATTGCAACAGTCCATCCAGCATCGCAAGGCGTCCTGGAGTTCGGCATGGAGCATGGAAGACCATCCAGGCAGCGGCTGCTCGCTCTCCAGTGGGCTTCCCGACTGCCAATTTCATACTCAGATCCCTCAGTTCATCCCCACCCCCGGATGTTGCCCCGGTAGGGCCCGCTACAGCCCCGATATCGGGAGTGGCGGCAAAACTACAGGATTTCTCTTTGGCTGACGATGGTCTTCTAATGAAGAGATTCCAAACCCCGGAGGTGAACGGAGTCTCCGCGACTCGTACATGTTATTATGTTCCCACGGATACTTCCGAGGGAGAGCAGCACGCACATTCGATCGTCGATGCATACCATGGTGAAACTGGCTGCTTTGATCGTCGTAACATACGATGGTTGGTGTCAGATGCTTTTATATCCCCCGGCT